TGTCTCGAGGTCCGGTTCAGACAGGAGGGAATTCCTCCTCAGATCATCGACAGATTCGCCTGGAGTGGCGTACGGCGTCAGTCTGTGGTAGTCCATATCCTTCCTTTGCATGACGCTGCGATCGGTGCTTTTCTCCTGAATCAACGCCATCTGTTCTTCGCTCATCCAGCTCTCAATCTTCATATTCAGCGCCGGATACGAGAGAACCAGCCCATCCGGTTTGGGGAGCGAGTTTTTGCCTTCCCCCAGTGATGCCGGGCTGCTGCCCGACTGAAGAACCATCAACGTCGTGCCGACGGCGAGATTGGCGCCGGCGCTATCCCCAGTGAGAATAATACGAGGCGGCACATCTCCGCTAAGCCCTAGGCAGCGACCGCGCGTAGCAATAATCGAGTGATAGACGTCATAGCACTCGTTCAGTGCATAAGGGTACGGGTACTCCGGCGCTTTCTTATAGTTGAGACTCAAGATCGGGAGCTTCGTCTTACCCGCCCAGGCCAGCAACCGATCTTCGGAGTGGCGAGGGGTCATAGAAACAAAGCCACCTCCGGGGATATCCAGAACAATGCAGGTCTGATCCCGCAGAGCACTCAAGGGACCATCAAAGTACAACCACGCACTTGTAGGCTCATCGTATATTGACTGCCGAGGCCGCGGGATCCGAATAGCACGAGGCCCATACCTGGTCAACCGGGGCCGGACCAATCCCGCAAGAGCCCAGAGGTAAGGGGTCGTGCCTTTGTTCCACGAAACCCGCAAATGCTCCACCGTGAGAGTTGCTCGTATCCGACGGACTTTGTCATCCGCCTGCTCAGCCGCAATGAGGTAATAGGCCGTGCAACATAACGACGCAATATCCCGCAGCCACTTTGGCTGGACTTTCATCGCCGTCCAGAATCCAGCGTCTAGCCCCGTTGTAATCCATGTCGCGCGAAAGAAGGATCGAGAGTACAGGTTCGCCAGGGGCTCTGGGGACTCGAGGCCGACGATTTTGGCGAAATTCCGGCTCAGGTATAGGTATAGCATTACGACGACTGTCGTTTGCCAGACGCTTAGTTTTTGCGAAAGGCGGGAGGAAATGCGTCTGATGATGGGAGGGCCATGTTTATTTCCCCTATAGCATATATAGTCAGGGAGGTTGTGCCACGAGAAACATTAGGGTGTAGAGACGAACTTTCTCAGATAGAATGACCAGAACAGAAAGACGACCAACACCTGAACTTTGCGAAACTTGGTCGACGGCCTTCCAAGGACGTGGTCTAGATAGATAGTTTCTTAGTTGGTTACGCAGAGCATATCCGGACAATTTAACATACCTATCATCTCCACGGGTTAGGTAGAAGGGAGAAGATATGTCCGATGTCGTACAGAAACCAAAATATATATGAGATATCCTTGAGGTTCAATAATTCGACGGTGATATTGAAGATAGATGGTACGGGAAAGGTGGGATGATAAGGTATTGCTGGCACTTCCTCACTCCATCGCCGTACTCGGTTCAGATATGTCAGTGAGTCAAGGGCATACAAAATATGCTGTTGCACAGAAAGAAAGAGATAATAAGGATGTAAGCAGAAATACAGCAGCAGGGGATTGCATTGAAATTTGGAATAGACACCCGCAGGGCATCATCATCGCAGTGAGGCAATGCATGTGAAAGTCTCCACCAGCCAGGCAGAGTCGACAATCCACAATCCCCCACAGCGCAAGGAGTGGAAGCCAGGAAGACAGATCCAAGGTGGGATGCGGCTTACCCTCCCTCGAGTCAGCAGGGTCTTATAATTGGCGCAGGAGAAGGCTTTGTTCTGGGATGGTGGATTTTTTGTCCACATGTTGCCAGGGCGGATGGATTCCGTCCTCGATCACATGCTTCGTTCTGTCATCGATTGGTGGCGACATCGCTGTCAGCTGAACCTCTATACAGACACCGAACGTGGGGACCAGTTGTCTAATAATTAGTATATCATGCGATTTTGAACATGTGGTAAGGCTCCTATATGTTTATCTATAACTGATGATGATCCGTATCAAGTCCGTCGACAAAAGTCCCGTCCATGTGAGACTTGCCAATCGCAGAGCCACACCTCAAACACCATTCCAAGAAACCCGGCGATGCAAATGCCAGCTGAGTCGCTGACTGTGGTAGCCCCCAGTGAGAACTCGCGATCCTCACGAGGCACACGGTCGCCAATCTCTGCAAATGTATTGACATACACCAGTCCACCTAGCAGTCCTTCCCAGAAAACCACAATAAAGACGAGGTAGACATTTGGGATAAAGTCAAACAGCGCGTGAAGCGTCAGCAGCGCCAGGTTCGCAATCTGTAGGAATGACGGAAGGTAGAGGTTATGGATGCGGAAGAAAGGAGTAGAGGACCGAGAAATGAAGACGCCAACCTGGTAGATTGCGTTATAGGCCGGGTAGAATGCACGGAAATGCGCAAAGGGAGTCTCTGTGAGCGGAAACAATAACGTCGGGGACACCCCTTGGTTTATTGTATACTCCGCAATGTACACCAAGAGAAGCGGGAGCATGCTAGAGACAGTTGGCAAGCGAGTCCCGAGGTGGACGCGGTAGGGGACTTACAAAGGAAAAAACAGCCCGCGCGCACGTTGCAGGTTTGCTTTGAGCTTTTGCCATCCCATTTTTCTTGCACGCGTGGGCTTCAGACTCTGAGAGGAATGAACTGGCGCACCAAGCAGCCCTTCACGCTCCTCCTCACCGTTGTCGAGTGCATCGTCGTCCGCATGTCTGTCTTGATTTGCAATTCCTCGATAACCGGACTGCAACGGCGAGTGCGGCAGTACTAAAAAGAAGCTGATAGCCAACACGGCCGGTAGAAAAGCAGAGGTCAATAACGTCGTCTTCACCTTCATACCCAAAGAGGTAGTTGCCAGGGCATACGCGCCAGCTCCAACCAATCCCGCTGCTCCCGTTCCGCTGCCCCAAGCTGCAAGACTGAACGGGCCATAAAAGTGCGTCAATCCGACGAAACTTAACTCTCCCAAGCCGCTCGACAAGCTAGCCAGGACAATTCCCGCCAGCTTGGAGGATATCGAGCCGCCATCAACGTATGCTGGACTCAATGCCACTACACACATGCCCAGTGCGGAGAGGATGACGCATAATATGATTCGCGCGGAATATGGTACTGCGTGGATGAAGTAGGGGGCGACCAGCTTCGTTCCAAACGAGGGAAGCACGTCAGCTAGCAGGACGACGCCTTTAGGAACATTCGGGCCGACTAAGTCCAGCGCTGCAGATAGTATGATGACATAGAGAACGTTGTTGATCAAACCTGATGACCAGGGTCCGGTTAGAGGCGCATTTGGGAAAACGGAGGACATTGCCGCCTACCGAACAGCCAGAATGCAAGGCAAACCTTGGGGTCAGCGCCGTGGAATAACGATGCAAGCTGTGCACGAAATCGAGCCCATGAAGATGACGGTGCGCCAGGGAGAGGTAACATTGACACTTCAGGCATCAGTGCTCGGAAAGCTGAAGCGAGATAAGGCGTTAGTGGGCTACGAGAGGGTGGCTGTTTGACAGCAGAATACAGTAGTAAGTCTGATTAGGCTTAAAGATACAGTCATGTCACAATTAATAGCAAAGGACCATCGGGGTCTGGAATTAGCGAAGAAGGAGGTGAAGCGGAGGAGGTCAATGAGGGGAAAGCCAGGTCTCCGAACTGGAAAGCGATCGCGTGCAGCGGCTTGGCGGAGAGGAATCTACAACGCTGCAGTATGACACTCAGCTGTTGAATCCATCGGAATATAGTCAACAATAAAGTAATATTAGTTAATGCTGCCCGCGAAATCCAACTTCCAAACTAAAAATTGACCATGATCAATCAGCAGAGAACTCGTCCCAGAAGTCGGGATCTAAAAACAAAAATATTGGACTATGTGGGAATTGAACCCACGACCTCCCGCATGCGAAGCGGGCGCTCTACCCCTGAGCTAACAGCCCAGATGATGTAAGAGCACTTTCAATTAAGGATAGATATGAAGGTTTAATCTGTCGCAGTACCAGTTCGACCGTGGCCGAGTCGGCGCACTAATTGCTGCAGATATACCAGCTGGAGTACCGGAGGCCTGTAAATCATGAACATGGCATTCCAGCTTACCTTATCCTTATCAGAAATATTATTTTTGGCGACGTTTATTCGTATGTCTCATGTCATGGTTGTTGACAAGGTATTGAATGAATACGCATATATATATTGTCATCCAGACAAGGCCGTTTCCTGCTACCGCCCCGATAGCCCAGGCACACTGAGCATAGCCACTATTGAACCGGATATTGGTAGAAAAGGCTCGCTCCCTAACTCGATGCAGAGTAATACAGCACACACGTCAAGGCCATACTTGAAGAAGTGTCCTTCAGCTCAATCGAAAGTGTCGTCTGCATCCTTTAGAAGTGCATGGAAAGTTAATGCTGCATGTCCTGTCCCTATATATTTAACAAGGCACGCCTAACAATAGAGTTTCAACCCCAGATTAATATGCCTGCAGAGATATTCAGATATCAAAGCTCAGTGAGAGTACACTCCAGGTGCATAGCCGCGGGCCAGTGTTTTCGTGCATCATAATGGCGTAGGCCACCAAAAGGCACAAGCGACGCATTATGGATGTAAGACAGGGCTGAAGAGAGCAAATTCGGAAGATAGAACTGACCATAAAACAATCCTGATACTTATTGCCAAGCTCAAGATACATGGTTCGGACGTTTGCTGCATCCTTTGAAAGTTATTCTGAATGATGTAAGAGACGGTAAGTAGATAAGGTCTGGAGGTCAGGACAGGGCACGACAGCCCTTAATGTGAATCAGGTTAAGCTCCACAGTAGTGCCTTTTAGCTCAGCGCTAGTCATGGATAAACGGGACGCCATGCCAAATTAGGATTAGCGACACAAAACTAAGTTTTTCACCGCCATCACGGCCGTACTCCACATATGCAAAAATCGTCAACTCATGGCTACAACAAAAGAGCAAAAATAGATGGAGACGCGGGGAATCGAACCCCGGACCTTTCCGAAGCATGGAGATCACGTGCAAACGGAATGTTATACCACTAAACCACACCCCCGTTACGATTTGTAAACGTTGTGGCTTGTTTACTGAAGTCAGCGAAGTCAAGAAGGCTTCTGCGGCATGAGTCCACTAAAACCACGATTCGTTGGCGATAGTCACTTGCGACTGCCTGATTAGGATCATGATTCCCCTTCAGCAGGCAACGTAGTCAGCGAATAATGTGAATTGAACTGACTTCAGACCAACCCCGCGGCAGCCCGCTCACCCCAAGCCTGGGAAAAGGTACCGGCGATACTCTCTTTCCGCCATAAGAAAGTGAGTGACTGCAGTGCTAATCTCCAGCCCAGACACAGCTTCCGTAGCGGTATGCGTTACTTAGTTAACTACACGTCTCTTCTACCGGCAATGGTGACCTGAATTTAGGGTACGTTGGCCACGTGACTGCCAGCGTTAAAGTCACTTTACTGGCAAGCCCAGGCAAATGATTATGGTTTGGCAATTACTACAAGAACCAACCACGGGCCTTCCCCCCCACAATGTCAGCACAGGGGTTTGTGGTCCAGATCCTTCGAGGTGGTGACCTGGAGCCCTGGAGCTGGGGGCTCCAGCTTCTACGGAGGCCTTCCTAATTAGGCTGCGCGACAGGCTGTAGAAGAGAGAACGCGTACTTTCTTCTCAGCCTCGCGCCTTGATGCTGAGATTCTACAGAAGGATCGTCCTGAATCTAGGGTTCCTACACTCTGCACCGATTTACCTCCTAGTTGGAAGGGGGAGACAGTGACGAGTCACGTGTTGCGCTATACGTTCCATGCGGGACCAGGAGTGGCGAAATCGCGCAGTGGCAGGATTACATACCTGGAAGACCAGCCTTGACCATACTCGCTCCCAGATTCCTGAGGAAGAACTCCAACAGACACCTCCGAATTCTGAATATCAGGGCTCACAGACAACAAGTTTCGAAGATTCCAATTCTGATTATCTGCCCTTATCGCCTCTTGATTCTCCTCCTGGAAAGGGCCGTAGGATCCCCACTCGGTCTCAGCCGGGCTGTTCGCCGTTGGATGTACTCAACCGTGCCGAAAGAGAAGACTCTCCCGACTCCGACCCAAACCCAGAATCTCTGACACGGCAGCGTGGCATCAGTCAGGTTTTGTCCACAACCGCGACACAAGAGTCAGCACGCCGAACTACTTCCAATGCTGACCGCGGCCAGTATCAGCAACATGCGATGATGCGATTTTGTGCACAGCGGTGTCTGCTCGGCCTTCAGCAGAACGGCGCCTTAGACACTAACTGCCCAAATTTCAGACTGCACCGATCAGTGTCAAGTGGCAACCAACACCCTATCAGTGCCGAGCATCTGGTTGGACTCCTCAAGCAGCAGCTAGACGAAGACCTCGATCACTATTGCACACCGTTCGGTAACTGCGGTGTGTACGGGGCGCCGTTCATGGTCACCTGCGCTGCATTTTGGTTATGCTGTGGTTGGGAAGGGGACAACGTCTCGTCTGTGGAAGGAAGTGTCCCGTGAGGCTGATATCTATCATATCCTTCGAAAAACCCAGGCGTCTGCGGTTCCCCTTTTTCTTGGCACAATCAACTTGGCCAAAATTTATTTCCTGCATGGAGCCGGAGAGATTCGTCACATGTTACTCATGGCCTGGGGTGGTGAAAGTATAACCAAGTTGGAGCAGCAACCAGCGCTTCACCGTGAAATCTCAAAATCAACGAACGAGACCCGTGTATTGGGAGTCAGACATCAAGACCTCCGACCGGACAATATCTTATGAAACAACGAGTTAGAGCGAGCCTTGATCATTGACTGGCATCGCTCTACCCTGGATCATCGACCGATGGGAAAGCGCTTGGCCGGCTTCAAGAGATCAGCGCGCAGCATTGAAGCGCAAGGTCAAAAGCGGCTTCGCGTGACCTGACAGCGGGAAGTTTACGTTTTTTATCTATGTGCAATTCTGTATCTCTGCGAAAAGCAACCTGATGGCGTGAGACACATGGAATTCAAGTCAAATGGATTGGGCCTTATATGTTCGGTTGATTCCAAACTTTGGAACTCCTATAGCGAGCTGCTACAGAGAGGAAGCCTATTTTGAAAGGAGTCGAGACGCAAGTGATTAGCCACTGCACAGGACCAACGTGCACTTTGTTAGGGCTAATCTCACCGGACTGCCCACTGGAGATCCCACCGGAAATCCCACGGCTATCCATTTCTTATTCAGCTCATGACGTTTTATTAAGCAGCTCCTATGTAAGCGATAGAAAGTATAAATTCCCAGAAGTCCAATGCTGTTAACGCCATCAGCATCTCTCATCATACAATCTCTTGAGACGTACGACTATTCTTACCATGGCCCCTGCAATCCTCATCGTCGGCGCAACCGGCAACACCGGCCGCAGCGTCACTGAAACGCTCCCCCAGCTATTGAAAGCTAGCACCACTCTGTCCGACCACCGAACCATCGCCCTCACCCGTTCCCTTGCCAGCCCAGCAGCACAACAGCTTGCCAAAATCCCCGGCGTCGAAGTGGTCGAGCAGAACTGGGTAGAAATCACCGCCGCCTGGCTGCGAGAACATTCAGTCGTCAGGGCCTTCATCGCATCGCACAACGAACCAAACCAATTCGCCGAAGAATCGACCTTTCATGTCGCTGCACTCAAAGCCGGCGTCAAGTACGTGGTGCGCATCTCGACCACCGCTGCGAATGTCCGCCCGGATTGCGACGCGTACTACCCACGTTCCCACTGGGCTATCGAGGCGCTCCTGAGCTCGCCGGAGTTCAACAGCTTGCAGTGGACGTCCCTCCAGCCCAACGTCTTCACGCAGTTTTACCTTGCCCCCGCTGCAGAATTGATCAAGCAGTACCGTGCGACTGGGAAGCTGGGTACACTGCGGTTGCTGGCGTCAAAGGATGCGCCTGTCGGAATTGTTGACTCTGACGAAGTTGGGACCTTTGCTGCACACCTTCTGGCCCAGGATGACCCTGCGGTGCACAACAAGGCTAAATATGTCTTGAATGGACCGGAGGATGTCACCGGAGAGCAGATTGTGGACATGGTCGAGCAGTATATCGGTACGAAGGTCGAGGACGTTAGCTACGGGGATGTGTCATTTCTCGATATGTATTACGAGCACAAATTCGCTGCGACTGGGCAGTCGAGGAATGTTATCATGTCTATCAAGCATGCCCCTGAGACGGCCTGGGAAGGGAAATGCACGGCTTCGACAACCAGCAAGGAAGTGCTGGAACTTGCTGCGCCGAAGCGTTCGCCTGCCGAAGTGTTGAAGGATATGCTGAGCAGAGAATGATTGCAGTCCCGTTTTATTATTACTCTTCTGTGTGAATCTCGAGCAGCTAGACAGAACGAGTAGATATACAAATATAACCTTATATTAGTAATCAATGCACAACCTTGGAACCAACCTGGCAATTTGAAACCTCACCCTTGACTCACCGGAACATCCCACCGTCATTGCCGCCAACAAGTATGCGCGAGAATGAATTCAAGTGTCATTTCCCAGGCTGTACAGCAAGCTACCGACGTAAGGAACACCTCGGTCGCCATCAAACTCAACACCGGTTACGCCTGTCTTTCCAATGTCCGACCTGCGGTCGAGAATTTGGCAGAAGGTGTGGCAACTCCTGCAATATATTCTCCCAGTATACCTACCTAACTATCTAGTGACACGCTCCGACGACACGTACGGCAAGTCCACAACGAGACTCAACCTTTGCCTCCCAAAAAGCAGGCATGCGACAATTGCCGCAATCTAAAGTGCCGGTGTGAAGGCGGGCCACCGTGTAGCGAGTGTCTTCGTCGCAGGATTACATGTTCTCTCGATGGTGAAACTCCTAGCAGAGAGTCCGAAGCGAGACAGAGTTTCCCAACGCCTCCAGAGAGGCATCCGGAATTGCCATCGCCCTCGCCCTCCTCCTCGCGTGGACATCCCCATAGAATCCAGACCGGCAGTTTTGAAAAAGAACGTCGGTTCCTGAGCCTCTACTTCAAGCTCTTTCACCCCTATTGGCCGTTCATCCACCAAGGCTCGTTCAATGAGCACAGCGAGACACCGATCCTCGTGCAGTCCATGGTCGTCATCGGGCTATGGGTGAGCGGGGAGGAAAATGCGCGCTCAGCGGCGATTGAGCTGCACAAGGCGCTTGGGGTGGCTATTCGCCAGCAGAGGGTCCGTTCATTCACCCCTAGCAATAATCCGAAACCAGTCTTGATTGACTGACGGAAGGTACTAGGAAGTATGGGATGCCTCCATCGCGGAAAACGCGTCCAGCAACTGTACCTGGCCGATCCCGATGTACCAGGCACTACTACTCCATATCATCTTTGCCTTACTGCGGAGTGGAGGCAGCGGTAGTCTTGGCCTTGACCTGAAGCCTTCTCTCCCCGTGGCTGATGCTGAACTCCTGGACTGTCTTGTCGCGAGCTGCAAACGGCTGGGCTTGCTGCACTACCCAAATATGCTTGCGCGGTTCAGTCAGAATGATCTCCCATCGTATGTATGGGTGAGCATTGAGGAGGTCAAGCGGTTCAATGTGGCTCTGTACAGAATCTGCAGGACGCTCAGCGAGCAGTACGACCGGAGCAGTATCGATGGGAGGGTAACAGACGACAGCAGCGTTACCGGGGCTAGGGCTCAGAGGCTGAGTGCACGCGACTTGCAATTCCCAATGCCGAGGAATACTCCCTTGTGGAATGCCGTCAGCAAAGAAGTGTGGGATGCTGCTGCCACGGAGGATGTGTTTTGCCATAACTTGGAGGATACGCAGGAAGAGCAATGGATCTCGAGGTCCGCGGGGACTCTGGAGGCAGCGTTGGGACTTGGGGTCTCTTTGGAAATATTATGAATAGATACATCACTCGGACCAGTGGCCTGACCTGCATTGGAAAGCACTTCCTCTGCGTATCGCCGCATATTTCCACAAGAGAGTCGTTGGATTTGTTGCTTTGTCGTGGAGGCCCTGGTACTCCAAATGCCTCAAGAATTTGGTCCCTGAGGGCTCTGGGGCTCCCTGGAGATTGCCT